TACTCTTTTCAATAAATTTTTGCCTTTTAAATACGGTTTATTAATTATTCCATTGGTTCGCTAGTCAATCAAGCTTACTGTATTTAATATTTGCTTCACTCAGCCTCCCTTACAATCCACTCATGAATGAAATGAGTAAAAGATAAAGTGAATAGCAATTTTAATAAATATTCAATATATCTGTCAATATTTCAAACCTCAACTACAAAATAATTAATGGGCAGATAGAGAAATACATACTTCCATTTGATCAATCTATCATTGATAACATCATGATATGATTTCTTTATAGGTGATTATCGATCAGATTCATAAGATTCCATTATTTCATTATTTGCTAATGGATACTTTCGTCGGTATCGTTATCAATGATTCATTCTTCTACTAATTACATTTATTGCAATCACGTGATTGCCAACCATGGAATTGTGTTTAACACTAATCTGTTATTTCTCGTTGACCTCTTTCAACCATTCTCATCTTGTCTCGTTCATTCTATTAAGAACGAAGCAGATCTGAAGCTGCAGAACCCGATCACCGTACTCGCAACCGTACACCTCAAGTTTAACTGCACGTTTCTCTGCTATTTCCTCGGCATGTATTTGAGCCATTCGTTGCCTGTCTCGCTAGTTTGATGCACGTTCTTCCGCAATTTGATTTGCAGTTACTTGCCGCATTGTTTCCGCAATTTGATTTGCAATTATTTGCCGCATTGCTTCCGCTTCACGTGTACGACGAGCAAAGTTTGTCTTCTGTGCGGCATTATTTTGATAAACTAAAGCAGGTTAATTGCACTAAAAAAAAGAAAGTTATAAAAAAACATACAAAATTGCATAACAAAAAAGAAAAACAAAAATAAAAATTTATGTGTAAGAAGAAAAAAATGGGGTAAGAGAGACAAATTGCATTGAAAAATATTAATAAAAAAAAAAAACAAGTTAAAAAAAACGAAATGAAAAACAATGAAAAAGGAAGAAATTAAGTATACTCATGAATAGTTCCGAAGAAATACATCAAAATTTATCAGAAATTATTGAAAAAGTTAAATTGATTAGTATAATAAACAGTCTACCAAAAGAAAGATTTATATGTAGTAAATATAATAACAGTTTAGCTACAAATTTAGGTATAATTCAAATAATTGAATTATATGATAGTTATGATGATTCAAAGGTAAACAAGGTAAGAAGAAGAAATCGTTTTGTGCAAATAAAACAGAATGTATCTGATCATTCGAATTTTAGAGCATATATAAGGGAAGTTTGTTTGCAACAACTGATTAACCCCAAGATGACCTAAGGTTTTTTTTTTTAGAATTTATCGACAGTTACCTGACATTCTTTAGAATGTGCCGATATCGATCCCAAATTTGGTAATCAACATAAATTGATTTACAAACATGTTACAATACGAATTTGAACTATACATATTTACAATATCGACAATATTCAAACAAAAGCATATCAGGCCATCATAATGATTTTGGTGGAGCTTATGAAAGCTCCTCCTCTTTATATATCTATATCCATACAAAAGAGCATGTTTTTACTTGTTACAGGTGTGACATCTATATAATATAGGTATATAGACATATGCAAATACAACATATACAAATTGGGTATTCATATTCAATATTATGTCAAAATTCCAAAGCAATCTGTGAAGAACTTTGGAAGATTTAAGTCCTTGAATAAACCGAACTTTTGCACTTTTAAATATATATATATATATATATTTTGAATGCTTTGTTAAAGAGATGAATATTGTCTGAGATGAAATTGAAACATTTAATGCATTGTAATTATGAATAAATGGATTGGACAGAATGCTGAAAATTTGGAAAGAATTTTTTGGTAAAAGAAAAAAAAAGTTTATTTTTTGAAATGGTCCATTCTTGCCAAACTATAAAATTCTAAAATATTCCAGTAGTATATCAATAGGTTCGAAGTGATATGAAAGTGATACTGTAAATTTGATCTTCAAATTATCATCCATCTTTTTGTGTAACAATTATGAATTTAATTTGAGAATTATCTCAAAACACTTTGGAACAAAAGTAGATATATTTGTTTCTCATTTTTTGTCGTAAATCAACTTCATGCATGTATTCACTTGTTCAGTCTCTCATCACAAGTAAACCATAATTTCTTCTTCAGATGAATAATTTGATGATTATCAGAATTGACAAGAGGATAATCATAAAGATAACCTCAATTTTTTTTTAATAATTAATTGCTTTTCCGGACGAATCAAACAAGAGATCTCCGGTTATCTGTCTGTTATCTTTTACATATTTATTGCACAACTATACCAGACATGAACATGCAAGCATTGATACAGCCGCCGGATTTGCTACAATCTGTTCATGCAATACATTTCAGTAATTCTCCTATCTTTTCATTTAATATATTATTCCAAAGGGAAAAATGCAACAAAAAAAGAAAAAGAACTTCGAATTTCAGATCTCGATGATTTAAATTTCGCATACATTTGTTACCTCCTTCTCCTCCTCCTATTCATTTACCAAATTCATCTGCTTAAAAGATAACTTATCAATAATCTCTCGATTTTCATCATTTTCTCTCGTTTTTTTTTTTTAATGTTTTCATTTCATGTAATCATTTACAGAGTACATAGTTATCAGACACATAAACAAACAACCTATTACATTTGGATGCACTTTATAACGCTGCACTTGCGGTTTACCGTATTCATTTCATCATGTTTACAAGATCATATCAAAATGATTTATGTAACGGTTTTGAAGTAGATACATGAATACAGATTGTGTACTTAAAATGCTTCATGCCAATACGGTAAACCTGAACTGACCTGTTTATATTTGCGATTAAGGTTAAGGGTCAAGCATAATCCCTTCTTGATAAATGATCTTGTGCTCTTGACTGTGTGTTAAAGGTGGCCCACGGGATATCCCGTCAAAAATGTCGCAAGGTATGAATCCAATTTCAAGCACTTAATATCTTTTGCAGTTCGTATATAAATAATAACTACTTATACTAACTTATCAAAGAATTAAATTAAATGGAATTGCTTTTTTACATTAAACGAAATTGCTTTTTAAAAAGGAAGTTTCGAAAATATCCCATGAAACCCTTCACTTTGCCAATTCAGGTATGTATTGTCTGAAGACTGAAAAAAAGCATATACTGTTTCGTTCGGTGACATTTCGAGCATGTGTAAAATTATTCTTTTCCATTGTCGATCGTTAAATAATGACTTGCAATTAACAGCTAACAGGTTGCTATAACAGAAATTCCCTTCGACAATGACCCATACTTCGATGTGAATAAATCCAAAATTTGCTATTTATGAACAAATTTTTACAGACAAAGCAGCGGTGTATAAAAGATTAAACTAAAAAATATGAGGAATGAGAGGGATCCATACTCAAACAATGTTCTAGGACAACGACACTAAACATTACTTTTATGTATGATAAATGGTTACATATCTTTCCATATTCCCAAATCTAAGCCATTGTATGGATTAACATATCCACCAGTCGTACCATATCCATCCGCTGAACCCAACAGTTGTTTGGATGAGGAAGATACGAAGCTTGATAATAATTCCCTAGTTAATGAACCAGTTAAAAAAACAAAATTTAGAAAATCTAATCAAATGGATGCTCTCCGGAACTTTTCAAACAGTCCATCCCCACTATGGTTTTTCTTTTTTTTTTTTGTTATTCTGCACGCCCCACTCGTACATATTTCTTTTGCAAAATCATTTGACACTTATTTCTGACAGTAAAACCAACATTACCCTACTTTAATTAAGTAGATGAGAGACACGGGTTACTCCTGGTAATAGTACACTCGCACCGAAGCCGACCACTCCTCAACCTAACACAAGAGCTGCCAACAATAACCACTTCATCTGTCAATATCCGCCCTTTTTTCAATTGGCCTGCTTACCCAATAAAGGAGAGTTAAATTGCAGAAATACTCCGCTTCGCACCTTACATCACCACAGTCATTGGAGATTCGATATCTCAGACATACTGACGCACTTTATTCGTAGTTCTAAAACACTAAACAGTTGCAGTAATCACAGAAGTTAGATAAACCAAATTCAAAAACCCCAAATTCTCTAAGATATTTTACACTACCAAACCTGAAATTTGTCCTGTATGTCTCCCAAAAACTGCTTCCACACTTCCACGTGAAAAGTTGTGCTTTACTTTCCCTTGCACAACCGTGCTTACCTGCATTTACTGGTAGTATATTTTATGGTGCTATCTTACCAACACTGGACAAAAAACACTGTCTTGTTTTATTATTGCAACTTGTTCAAATTTAAAGGAAAACGCAAAAAGCAAATGTGACGAACAATATAAAAATTTCAAAACGATATATTAAATTTAAACCTTTCAAGTAACGAAAACAAAAGGATTTCTTTTGCTGGCATCACCTGAACAGAAATCAAGATAAAATTTTGGTTTCGAAATACGGATCTAACTGAAAAACAACATTAGAGGAGTTAAAGAAAAATCACTGTCTGCATGGAATGGTACAACGAATCAACGGCGATCACTGTATCGATTACTACCACTCCTGAAAAATTCCGTCATCAGAAATAATGAAGCTGATAAGATGTAAAAAATGAGCTTACCTTTATCGGATTTCCTTTGAAAAACCCTACAATACATCAGAACTGCGCGGATTTCACAAAACGCAGTCCTCGTGGAATATATTGTTTACTGATCCCAGTCGGACAAAACATCAACACAACGAACTTCGAGAAAATGTCTTTTAGAAAACTTCAATAAACAGATGAACCACTAGCGGTTTGATATACACATTACTGGTAGACAAATGGACCACTGACGATTTGACAAGCACAGCCTCACTTGATATGCTAACGCTATTTTGGGAATAAGGTTTGATTGCTACTTAAGAAACAATTCGAATGTCGCACTGGCCGTTTCTGAGCAAAATTGGTTTACAATTCTGAACATTATGGCAAATACCATTTAAATGACTTTAAAGCCCAAAGAGGAACAATACCAGAAACCACAGATAACAAAATCACATTACAGCATTACCGGCAAAAAGATTAAAAACGGCCTTCATAATCCGGAAATTTCGAAGACAAAAAACGATTTGACTTGGGATGTACTGAGGAGCAGGACCCAGAAATACAAGTGCGCAAAATCGGACTTACCACTTGTAGTAGTACAATGCCCAATATTTCATTTAAAAGAATATCTTGTGATGTAACCACTGATATTATTCATCGCGGAATCCAGCAATTTACACAATCAAATGCAGCCGATTTTGTCAAAGCTAACAGTATCCGCCCACCGTACAACTGTTAACCGAACCATCTACGTATGAGTAGTACCAAAATTTGGCTTGGCCGGCAGAAGCCGTAAGTGAGGATAACTCATTTCATTCGTACCCGAACACCAGTTTGCATAGTTCGGCCAATGCAGGACGGACCAGTTTATACATAAGCAATGCTTTCTTTCCTTTCATTTAAGAGAGACTGAGTACTGGAATATAAAGAAAAATGAATTTTAGAAACTTTCGACATAACCAGTTGACAGTTTGAAAGAGGCATGAAGTATAAGTTTTATTGGGTCTTACATTCCCTATCAGCTCATTAGCCGCAGTTGTTTCGTTTCTTATGAATGAAACCTTTCAAATCAAACATGGTTCATTGTGTTCAGATTGAAATCAAGGAAGTGCACACACCATCAGACACGAAACGGAGCGTATTGAAATAAAGAGAGGAATGCAAATAACATTTGTCATGAAATAAAAACAGCAAGACGTTAATTCTTTTGGATTCAATCTGATGCACAATCCTGAACGTGATTCATCGATCAAAAATCCTACCTTCGATCACTACCATTCCCACTGCCACTGTAACTGCTTCGATAACCGCCCCCACCATATGAACGAGAACCTCCTGATCGTCCTCCGTAACCTCCTCCGCCGTATCCACCGCCTCTACCGCCATATCCACCATACGAACTGAAGTATAAATTGTAAAAAACAAATACTGATTCCGAATAAATGTAGTCAACAAAACCAACTGAATTTCAAAGAATGACATAACATAGCATTAAAAATAATGGAGATAAAATATTTGGTGAAATACGAACCGTGGCCCACCACCTCCTCGATAACCGCCACCACCATAGCGACGTGATGGACCTCGTTCACCTGGTTTTCTTGGAGGATGAGCTGTAGCTACCTTAATCTTGTTTCTTCCAATGTACCTGCATTACTAACAGTTGATTATATAACGAATTAGTTGCATTACATCTACAAGCTTATTCTCATTCCAAAATTTTTGGGTGTAAAATACATCAACTTCACCGTGTTTCATGTTCCCTGCAGTAATTAATATCAAATCAACAATCTATGGATTTACATACGCATTATTCATCTCTTTCAGCGCATCAGCAGCATCTTCCTTCGCTTTGAATGTGACAAACGCAAACAGCGGTGGATATGAAGCTAACCAAACATTATCGATGTCACCAAATTTGCTAAATATATATATATATAAAGCCACTTTATAAAACAGACTTTGTTAACTTGTTACCCCGCATAGACCACCAGAGAACGGAATTCCCAATCTGCATAATGGAAAATTAAAAAGGAATACGTGTTACAATGCGTTACAATCTTCGTTACAACCTTCCTCACAATTATGTTATATTTACAAACATGATCCCGGTGAGAGGATTATCTCTTAACTTAGTATTACATATCAAAGTAAACGTGATCCAGATTCAGTTGTGAAGCAACACCCTCCCCCCTAAGAAATTTCTGAGGAAAAGCTTCGAATAGATACCCGAATGCATCTTTCAGATCATCTTTTCTCAAGCTTTCATCGAAGTTACATATATGCAATCGACCGAGCTGCTCAGCGGCATGATCAACTGATCTTGAACGGCTACGGCGACGAGGTGGCGTATTGCTGCGTGAGTCAGATCGTTCACTGTAAGTAATACATGAAAAAATCACACCATACGTAATGCCATGACCGATCATTAAAAAAATGACTTGCTCTAAATTGTGCAACTTTAACCAGATTCATCCAAGGCTGAAAGATTAAAACACTTGGCTTGCTCTCTCGAATCAAATAAACTATCGCACTTTCTCTGATGGTGTATATATACCAGAGACGTCTTAGGAAATGGTTCAGGAAAATGGAAAGCATTGAGATTTGAGGTCTCACATGAAATGAAAACTAAAAAATGTCATCTCGAATCATGAACTCATGGAGTATGTCCCTCAAATGATAGGTTTTTTTTCCTTCATTCCTTCCTTTTATCAGCGAACAAACAGACCTTCTAGGAGAATGACTTTTTGATCGATGACGATCGCTTCCCGATGACGACATTGTTAAGACCTCTCTGAAAGCAGTCAATCCAATTTGATAACACCAACATACCAACCTATGCCCACACCGCACACAACCAACCCAAACTACCACCAAGCTAGTGCCTAAAATCCCACCAATTCGCAGCCCTAACTCATGACAATTCTCCTACTTCGACATAAACCAACCCGCCGCCTAAATATACTAACTCCAGGTCCAGAACCGATTCGCTAAAAGCAATTTCACCTAGACGTCTATTGAAGCGCTATAACCATAGAACTCTGCATCTACAGTACCCCTACTAGGAACTGTGGAAATTCTGCATAGGCTCATGGATATCTTTGGATCAATGCAACTTCTCTTATACGTCTGACTACTCTCTCAGTTAAAGGAGAGGGGAAGGGAAGGAGGAACATTCGAAGATTTATTTGTAGTGTAACAATGATTTATATCTGTCTATTACTCGCACAACATCAGAATCTAGAAACTTGAGTGTATAATGGAAGAGCATATATTGGCAGTTTCAATTACATACAAAGAAAAATGGAATAGCAGGGAAATGAGAGGCCGTACATTCATCAACAAAAATCTGCATGTATTAAACCGCTTTATTGATTACCTTCTCCAACACTTGAAAAGAGGAAAATTAGCAAAAAGTAGATCCAGGCAAGATATGCAAACGTAATGCGGACATAAATATTCTTAATTCCATAGAAACTAATCTATTACCTATTAAGTCATATTAGTCCCTTCGTGATCACCATGACTGCACTTGTGTCTTGGGACAGTACCACTCACTACTGCTTTTTGCAGCTCCTCAACAATCTTAATTATGGGCATCACATTAAATGGGGCATCACCCGAATTTTGCAAACGTATGAAGGAAGTTCGTAAGTTTTCGAAACATTTCACAATTTGCTGGTCGCCTGATTCTTCTTCATTAGGTTTAGGCACTATCAGACATACGTCCTGCAACATTATTGTAATCATTCTTTTATTTGATCACAGGTTCATCAGTATAATGAATCCAGGAGGACAACCGGAATTCTATACGTAGAAGAGAAACTATTAAAATGCCAAATATTAGAACACAAATTCGAGTCCTGGTGCCCTATGGATATGAAAAAATTAAAACCCTTTCAGTCTTTGAGAATATGTAGGAGATAGTAACAGGTAAATCTCCATGCAGCTGCCGGATGCGGAGAGTTAGATCATTACCAGGAGAAACCATTTTACTCCGAACAAACCGAGTTTTTTTGTTCCTTTCATCACATCTAAACATCAGAGGCAATGAACAACACAACCAATAAGATGTAACTAGTCATCTTCCCCAAAAATCTCCCAAAATTTGTGGGCTAGACGAACTCAAGGCGCTGAAGACAAAACACCGGGAAGAAATTTTGGTCTTTTTGAAACGAAAAGGTACATTCCTTTTTGTTTCAAGATGCTAAGTCGCCTCCCGATATAAAAATTTATTAAAATGAAGCGTGTGTCCGTGCCTGAGAACCACTACTACAATGTCGCACCAATTAAACATACGAAGAAACATACTGCGAACATGAGAAACTACAGCACTGTTGCCCATCGACATCTCTCTGTTGTTTGATCAGCACTTTGAGAAAACGTAATACGAATGGCACTGCAGCTAATTCCGAATGAAGCCAATCCAGAACTACCTATACAAATTTTTGAAATAAAAGCAGAAGAGAATAAGGAGAGCCTAAGCCAGTGACTTTAGTTTGGGAATTAATGGTTGTAAACAAAAATTCCTTTTTTCTTGGGAAAAAATAAAATGTCATTTTCGTTGAAATCATTCTAACTGAAGGATTAACAAATTAAATAAAGAAGATACTAAGAGATGATACCACACTTTATGGTCATAGGCTATCGAAAATAAAGTGTGTCGGAACAACCACATGGCTTTGAGTTGAGGTGGCGTGTCGCTAAAATTTATGAATAATTAATTCCCTTAACTATTTTACTGATATTCAAGTCATTTTGTTATCAAAATAATTTCTTTTAAACAGAATTCTCTCGCTGAAATACCGATTTCGAACTGCTTTTTTTGCTTCCATTTTCAAGTCGCATCAATTTCCCTAAGCATTGACTCTAATAAAACAGTAGTCCAAAGCGTCAAAAACTTCTGTATAATAACTGGTTTTAACCCAAAGGAAAAAAACTGTCAAATGCACTATAACATAAATTTTAGCATACTGAACAGTAAAGTAAAGAGCGGCACAGCTCAAATTGTATCACTGTCCATTATAGGAACCAATATCGCTAAAAAAACCTTTTATATCAGTTTTCGAAATTTACATTTTAGCAGCTTCCATGCGCAGTAATGCAACAGCAACAGAAAGACATCTTTCATCCTGTGTCAGTAAGGCTGCTGACAAGCAACTGTGTTTTGGGATCATACGAGTTGAAGCTTTTAATAAGTCCTCAATTTCACTAGCACCTAAAAACAAGTGGCTATCAAAAGAATAAAGAAATGCCAGTTCCTCTCAAAATACCCATAACATGACAAAAGCTCAAAGAATTTTCGCATCCTCATTTTTCCAAGCATTTTTGTGTAAACAGATGAGTAATCTCGGAAAATAAATACATATCGCCATAAAGAAGAAGCGAAATTGCCAACTAACTGCAGATATTGACAGCAAGCGCGGCTGCATGCCAACAGCAACTGAGAAATGCGATTGCATTATTCAATGGATTTGTTTCAAGGCCTGATTGCTCACCACCAAACCATACGGTCTCTGTAGAATGAGATCATCAATGTAAAAAATTATAGATGCGAAAATTTGAGACGGAATCATTAAAAACAGATATTAATTTTGGCTCCAGTGAATGGGACGACACACCATAACCTTCACCCATTATCGGTCAGTTTAACAAGCCATCACAGGATTCAAATAACATGCAAGACCTCCACATATACGCTATACCACATTGGATGGATCCACCAATCAAGCAAAAGGTATGTTTAACTAAAAGATAACTAATACCTCGACAGAAATGATGAGAAAACTTAAAAGTACCAGACGGAAAACAACGAAAACTACACACCTGAACTGAAGCAAATTTTCAGGACCACATCTTTCAAAATACCAAACACGGAAATAATGTAATGTGTTTCCCCAACCAAATGTTTGTTGCCAAAATAGCCCTTCTGCCACAAATTAATAAGAAAGCATTCAACAACAGAAAAGTAACGACGTCGTGCCGGACCATCCGGAAGCAAATAAAATGAGCGATCAAACAAGACCTCGCTCTCCAGCAAACTTGTTAGATCCGGATTATCAATATTTACATGGGATAATTCATCCAAAACCCTCATTGCTTTTACTTCGTCCATGGTTTCAAGACTCACCTGTTTCCAGTGAATCAGTATCCTAACAATAACCAATATATTAAGTAAACAGACAACCCAGGCGTAAACGTTCATGAATTGAATCCTCTAGAACTTATTGCTCTTATCCCATGAAAGAATGAAGTATTTTACGAATTTAATCCATAATGTTAGCAGAATACTGCTATAGAACTGAAACATCGGGATTAAAACAAATGTCCCAATTTCCTTAGTTTTGAGCACTGTAAGCAAAGAGCACCAACAGCAGTAAATGCTATCAAATGCACAACAAAAGACTTTAATACTTTCTTTTTTTGTAAAAATGATACGTAACATTGTTTTTTCCAAAGCAGCAAACGATTTGTATGTCTGTATGTTTCAAAAACACCAAAAAAAATTCATCGAAAAATTTTCACGATCAAAAACATTTCATCAGAAATATTGAAAAAAACGGTGAAACGGTTAAAACACTTTGACAGTACTCTGATGAGTGATTTTATTTATTAGGCAGATAATTCCGACGACAGAAGCTATTCATTATCGCTTTCGTCAGCCAATTCCGTCTGAAACACTTTTGTTTAAAAAATTATGCAATAATGAACATCCTTAAGAAAACTGGATATGATCAAGACATTTTCTGCTAAGTCCCATCCTATACCATTAGAAGATGCAGAAAACTCAATGACAGAACAGTTCTGCTGATCCAAAGAGAGGAAAGAGAAAATAAAATTATCACGAAATCTTACTCAGAAACCCATGAGAGCAGTAGTGGTACCGATTACGTAGTACCAAATGCATATAATAACAAGCAAGCTTAACGATGAGGCAAATATTGATGGGAAGAATAAACAACTACCTACAATAATGGAACAGGTCCGCGAGGGACGGTCTCGGAAAGTGCACGTTTGGTGTGCGGCCGACCCAATTAAACCTTAGATCACTATAAATAATGATATATTTCAAACATGAAACAGAATAGTTGATTGAAGAACCTCATCTTCGTCTTCATCGCCATCATATTCAAACATATCGTTATCCTCCATCGCTTCCTTTGTGTAAAACAGCACCGCTCTAGGCACAATTTGGTCACGGAATAACTGGCCAACCTCAAAATCAGCTTGCAGCAGTGCCTGAGTTTCGGCATCCTGAAACTCAGATTGATAAATCGGATAGGACAGAAAGCACTCAGTTATACTAGACTGATTGCTTGCAGCCTGAATTTGTTCACCACCACACCTGTTCAACGACCTTATTTATTTATAAATCAATGCCTACATACCAGTCTATCAAAGCTTTGATTTTTGAATAAACCAAAAATATCCAGAAAAAAACAAATATATAAAAGTTCGAAGAAATGAAACAGAAAGCACACTAACATCATCATCGTCATTGATTTCATTCTTATTTTTCATAGGCGGAGGGTCGAAAAAGTTGAAGAAAGAGTCAACTTTGACAGCTTTTGTAATGAAGCGACCAGCACCATTCCCTTTCTTCTGCTTTTTCTTGATTATCTTTTTTGTAACATTTTTTCCAACCTTCCAATCTATTTCGGTACTGTAAACGTAGTATTCAACATTAATAACGGCAAACTAAATTGCTGTAACTAGCGGTAAGATAGCGCATATATATGTCCTCCAATCAGCAGTTCATGATCGATTTTATCGGTCAGATAATACCATGGATTAAAAAAGAAAGTAATTTACCCCTTGGTATTGATTATTACCGGACCATCGTAATCAAAAATATCATCTTCATCCGGAGCAACTTGTAGGGTATAAAATTTCTTCAACTCCGTTTGGGTAAAATATTCATTGGGTTCGAAATGGAATGTCAGAGTATATGACTAAAAAAGTTCGTCTGATAAAAACCCACAAATGTTTCAAGAACCAGCACATACCAAACATCAAGCAATTTTTCCACAAAAATTCGCTATTCCACCAATATCAAATTAATATCTTTTTCAAAATGTTGTCGGTGATAAAGCATACACATACATTTTAATATTTATGATGAAAACTTACATCCGGGTTAGTCTGAACGTCACATGTTATATCAATGAGATGCTGAAGTATTGGTTCATCATGCTCTTGAATCATCTCACAGATATGATCTACATTTTTAAGCAGGTGTAACCAAAAACATGGGACGCCTTTTATTGGTTCGTTAGGTTCCGGGGCTGATGCTTCATTCATTTGCTGCAATACAGACCAAAAGTACCCCAGACATTATGCATACATATTTAGCATCTCAACAACATTTAGGCATGTTTAAACAATGTCTTACAAAAATGGATGAATTACTTTGAAAAATTTCCAGCAATGACACTTACGTCTATTTCCTCCTTTGTATAACCATGCAGGATGGGAAAATTGGCTTCGTCGTCGGTGGGTTCATAATTACCCGTTACAATCGCCTTTCTCTGCAATTAACACAACAGATAGCTAAAATCTCGACTTCTGTAACCCAAGGGTTATCAAGGTGAACTATATATCTATGTGAAATCTCTAAAGTGCAACAAATCTATCGAAACTCATCCTTTTATAGTAACATGGTAAGATAAACCCACCATTGTAGGAGCGTGAAGAAAGTAATTAACGCTTACAGTTTACAATGGAAATTATCTCAGTATTTGTATGCAAGTGCAAACCGCTCATTGTGCAGAACTACCAGATCGCTGAGAACTTGATAACTTCTGCTACTGATCTATTTTTGGAACAATAAGTGTAGTGGAGAAAGAGAGATAAAAAAACGAACAATTTACCTTATCATGCAAAGCACCGAACATCGGTGCAAATTCTACCTCTAACTGATGCACACGCTCATAGAAATGGGCTTCAACATTGATACCTAAAATACAAACCAAAGTTTGATAAAACTCGGGAAAATGACTTCATGATCTCCACTTCTGATTTATTATTCCTTATCACTGTTAATTTTTCAAGATCTTCCTTTTTCTTGTCCACTTCAAGATCTTTTACGTTAAATTTTGCTGTTCCTACCACCCTACATGAAAACTATGTGGATATGTGGATGATGAAATACGATGAAATATACACACCCTCCACTTGAAGTTTTTTCAGTGCTTGAATTCGTCGTTTGATGCTTTTAGGAAGGGCGCTGATGAACTCCTTGCCTTCCGCATCATAACCATTTGGTTTGGTTAATTCATCAACATTCTTCGATTCCATCCCCTTACTCTAAAATTTCACCAGTTCCACTCCACAAACTCGTAGCAATCCCAATTCCGATTCCAACAAACAGCCGTCTCAAACCTCACTACAACTACAATAAGCACCAAACTAGACCTATCCCATCTTCATATACCTTCCTCCAAGGTGGTAATGCAGCCGCACTCGAATTCACGAACCCGGTATGAAACTTAAGAACCTCTACAAACATTAAGTAAAAGAGGTAGACGTCATTACTTGATGGAACTCTCTATTTTAGGTATGGTCGACAGTTTATATAGGCAGTTATAACAATGACATAGCTTTTTCTAGCTCTCTGATTTCTAATCGTTGGAATCATTCACATATCATCCATTAAGTATAGCTATCTATTTTTTAAAGTTCTTTTATTCTTTGGTATATTTATTTTTTGGAGCCATTTACATTTTTCAAATGCCAAACTGATGGTAGTACTACGCAGAGAGAATTATCTACGTTTATTATCTTGAGCGAAAGTTTATATTTAAGCATTTTATTGCTATTTATAATTGCGTGACAAAAAAGGGAGCAATTGATTTGCTCTCATTTAATTCTACATTTTGATATATTGCGAAGAGATAAAGCCAAATGACATTTTCATTGTTCATAGTTCCATTACATTAATCTACTAGAAATTTCTAATTTAACGCATGCAAAGTGTAGATTATGACCACACATTAGCATCACAGTCTTGAACTGTTTTCGTCATTTCTGTGGAACGGAACTTCTTTTGCTTTAATTACTTCCAATGAAGTTGACGAAGCATTTCCTATTCCTAATTTTATGTTGCTTGTAATTTTTTAAACCTTTTAATTGAGACAATCCTTTCATTTGTTCAGATTCATCTTCTAATTCTCTCATCCTAAACGGTGCAATATCGCATAAAATTACTAAACCATTGAATTGAAACATCGAAATTTTATCAATTCGAAATTACAAATAAGATGAGAATATACGAGTACAATTTGGCTGGTAAATATTTCGTACAAATAACAATGTTAACATCAATTATTGTACTATTATTCATTTTATTGAATAATATTTCTTCTTTTGAAGGAAAAAAAAGGACGAGTAATGATAGTTATTGCTTGCTGTGCTAGATAAAAACAATTTTTTAAACTATAGACAATAAAAAAGTCCAACAACTGGTATAAAGTATCAGTTTAAAGATTAAAAAAAAAAGAAAAAAAAAATTCTGATAACAGTTACCAATTTTAGGTAAATATTGCTGAATTTATGATGATTTATCTTTATTTTTGCAGAGTCTTGAATCTTTCTTTCTTTTTTTCCTTTTGAAATATTCAAAAATTGGAGGAATAACTTTTAAGTAAAAAATGATTCTGATTGCATTGATTACAGTGTCAATGAAAAATTTTTGAAAATATTCAAATGTGAAAGGAGCAACACTAGCTGTCAACAAGCAAAAACTTTTCCTGATAAAGGGATATGCAAGAGATTAGACAGGTTTTCTCATAGTTCGAATACATAGCAAAGATGATTTGTATTTCCACCAACACAATAATTCGTTGAATCACTTGTAAATGATAAACTGGACTGCGAGCATAACACTACGTAATTACCCTTTTGTTTCGCTTTCAATTCCGAATAAATTGCCGCTTTCGAGATTTTCGTATCTGAGCTCAAGTTCTGAAGCATTCCCATTACAATGATGCATTTATATTTGTTTAATCATTAATTTATCATTTAATAACATTATCATCATTTACCTTACGTATTCATTAATTTATGCGTCAACATTTAACGAATATGGAATCAATTTAATTGCTCGTATTAGATTCGAGAAATCAGACAAGGATTGCTTTGTCAAATTTCCTTCAAATGTTCCCTCTTTTTTCCCTTCTCTTATCATGAGAATAAATTATAAATGAGATTCAAAGATTCAAAGCATAAACAGGTTACATGATTTTTTGGAATGTTATCCACTAATTTTTACTCTGTCAATTTTCGCTCTAAAAAAATTACACTGAAATATTCGCAACATTGTATGCATGCAATCCTTGAGCTTTAAACACTCAATTTGATAATTAGCATAACTGATTCATGAAAACATGAATTTGGAGAGAAAAATTTTTTTCCAAACAAAACTTTGAAATTCTAAAATTTATTCGCTTTTCAAGCTTATCCTAAGTTATAATTTTCATTAGCTTGGCTTAAAAATAGCTCTTTACGGTGTTAAGAAATTACTTATTTATATAGATGATAACTGAATTTTAATCAGTGAAAGTCAATTTTTAAAAAAGGAGAGTTTTGCATGCTTAATTGTTTAACCATATTTCTAAGGTACCCTAAAAAAAAACTAATGATTGATGGGTAAGGTACAATCATCGCTGACACATGCGAATTCTGCCAAATCTTGTTTGTGATCGAATAATTGGTTTGACTAAAATTACTATAGTTATATGCTTTCTTAGCCTTATTCTTTAGTAGAAACATAATATCAGAAAAAGAAAGAAAAAATCAAAGATTAAATGGAGTGAAATTGTAAGTCCTCTCAAAAGGTAGATAGATTAAAAGTCAGTTGAAAGATCGATTTTTAAATTTCTTTGTGACGCAAAAATTCACAGTCAATTTAAAACGAGTTATTCATGAATTTTTAGATTAAATCTAGTAAAATTTTGCATATTTCAAGTTGTAATATAAAGAATTGAATTTATTAAAAAAAAAGTTTTTGGATGAAGGAAAATCGCAAAAAATTGGTCAAATGATTCAAAATTTAAAATGAAATAAAAATATTGAAGATATCTCTCACAATTTTTCTTATTTCTCCCAATAATTTTATCTGAAGACAAGCAGATATATTTATCTTATCAAGTTGGAAGGATAAATCGATTAAACAAAAACATTTGGGAGATCAAACGAAAAGCACCGTTAAAGTTACAAATGTATTGTTTCATCCATAACCAAAAAACAATTTTTTTAAAACAATTCTTATCATTGTAGGGATTAATTGGTTTTTTTTAATCATCGATAAAGTTGGGAAGGGTCGAAAGATAGTATTGATTAAATTTTGAAAATATTAATTTTTAGGACAGAGGACAATTTTTAGATTTGTCATTTGTAATCTTTGGTTTCGTGGTTTCGACAAGCAGATGGTTACAAAATGTCCAGAACTTCCAAAAATGTAATTTGTTCTCTTATGCTATTATTAATCAATTTTATCAAGTCTTTATATAATGAATTTGATGTAGCTCCCAAGAACTTAATTATTTAATCATATTATAATATAAAATGATATAAAGCACTTCACTTCTATTGTGGTTTTGAAATATGCGACTGAAAATTATTGAAGAAGTAATTCAAAAATTTACGAACTTCGAATTTATTGTTATTAAATGATAAATAATAAGTGAGGAATGGGAATATTTCTTCATTTACAACAACAAATGGAAAATTATGTTGGATTTTATAATTTTCATCATTGTTGTATTCCAACGATAAACTGATACACTTAGCAGTGTCGCCTTAATTATTGAGACATAAAATCATCAGTAAGTTAATAATTTTAATTATAGTATAAATTTAAGGAAAAAAGCTGTGATTAAAGTAGTGGAGATAGTATGTTCACCTTTAGGATAATTTTGCGAATACGACTGTTATTGCACAAAGTTTGACCACTGGTACCATATTCGCTAGCAACTGCAGCAACTGGTGTGGAACGCTTCTTGCGCTTGCAAAGACAATTACAGGGTTGTGGAAGTGGTTGTGCTGGACAGGGTAGCGGGAGAGGAGGTAAACTTGGTGGACAGAGAGGTGGTAATGGTAATGGTGGTGGACAAGGCAAACAAAGTGACTGTTGAGGGCATGGCTGAGGTGGTGGCGGTGGTGGAGGTGGTGGTGGTGGTGGAGGTGGTGGTGGTGGTGGCGGTGGTAGTTGTGAAGGACATTGAGGTTGTGGAGGACAAATCTGTGGAAGAAGTGGTGGACAAGGTAGTGGACAAGGTGGTGGTATAGGACATATTGGTGTTGTTTGTGGACAATTACAGTCAGCAGTGGGACCAAGCAAAAATGCCGGATATTTCGGAATAAGAGCAAGGAGAAAGAATAAAACGACCATTATGAGATATATATTAGGTATCACAATTTTGATATAAAACCGAACCAGTCACCAACAAGGCAAATTGTTTCTTAACTGAGCACCACACATATGTTTATATAAACCGATTCGCTTAGTCCATGGTCAACCAAACTGGTTACTGATGTACCTGTGATATTAATTAGTAATGCATTTGCAATAAAACCTGACCCTCCAAGCCTCCCACTCCTTCTGCTCCTCCCCATCGCATGTTATAGATCTGAGCTTTTTAATCATTAATACTTCTTACGTGATATAAATCAACATTTTTGAAGTAGTTGTAACCTTCCTGTGACTTTTGTTCGATAAATTTCTTTTTTATAAAATCAATGTTTAACTCCCGTGAATAAATAATTGCGCTTACTACAGAGTGGCACATAGCACTAAATATGCGAGCAATCTTAATATATTAGTTATGGTTTTCGAAGATACAAGTATCTCCGGTATGTCTCTTATCTTCCACGCAAGGTGATGCGGGGAGCTCATTTCACTGCATTCAACTGAAATTCAATTTTTAAGAACGACAATGTTCAATTTTTTGGCAGGAGTAAACAAGATGATTGGTAAAACTTTTCAGTTATTAAGTTGAACAAATACTCATTATAGAAAACGAATTAAAATTATTTTTAAAAATGATCCTTCCATATTCATGAGTTCGTTTAAAAAAAAAAATCTAGGGAAATTCAAAAATCAAACTTTGCATCCAGAAAATATCAACTACTGCATTAAATCAATATAGATGAAATAACCTATAAAACTGCTTTGTTACATTTGTGGCATTTCAAGTTCGATTTAATTCCAATACGACCGAATATGCTTTTATGTTAGGTATTAGCTGTTTGAAACTATGGTAATTGAGCTATTGATAGAGTAATTAGCAGTTGGATTAAATTAAGAATATAAAGGCGGAAATCGGAAATAATTTTTGATAGGTTCTCAAGTCTTGCGTTGCAACTGAGACATATACTGGATCGAGCAGTTTTGTTGGGTATAATTTTAACTAATAATAATTTAGAGTGTATGGAAACGTGTGCAAATGTTTCTATCATTAGTTTATGACAAACTTGAACATCCACCAATTTTTGTTATATCACAAAGTTTGATTGTAATCAAACTGTTGCAAATGATAAGTTGAGAAAGTATTTGGTTGAGTGAAGCAATAAATATATTTCAAAATGCAATGAGCAAAATGATTGTCTGATATCAATCGGCATATTGATGGATTAGTGAACAAAATGAACACGGATATGCCATGTGGAGCGTGGACGGTATGAGACAGACGAATAAGTTGAATGATCGTATCACTTTTTTCCCAACAAACTTTTTTTTCTTTTTTTTTTCTTCACATTTATAAGAAAAAAAAAGTGTGTTATTTAATTTGCATATTATAGTAAAGTGGTAGTTTGTGTTTATTAAATTGATATCAGTAAACAAGCTGGATGCTTAAGCTTGCTCCAATCTATCCAATAACGATAGCTGATATTTTTTTGAAGCACAAAAGTTGAGAATTAAAGTGAAATTACGGCAATGAAGTGAAAAAAGAGGAATGATTAGATTTTAGAAATTTCCTTTTCATTATTGTTTGATTAAATGACGTTGCTTATATACGCCTGTATACCTGTTCATGTATCCGGTTGTTTGTGATATTGGAGGCGTTTACAAGTGTCATTTATTCATTTATTCCAACAATCACTCCGAGCAAAACAGAATTTGAAGAATCACGAATAATAGTTTTGCATTTGTAGAAGGATTGATTGGTCACGCTGAAGTAAACATCCTCAGAATGTATTATCATAATTAAAGGAAATTTTGTTATTGTGAAAATTTCAATTATGTGAAAGTGTTCTTTCTTCTGTTTACGCCACAAAATTAAACACAATATATATTGATTGTATTTTTTGAAATACTAATAATGATTGGTGTTCAAAGATTGATCATGTTGCAGATTTGAAACGAGCAATAATATTTTCATGTTTGAATGTAAATGGATCAGGTAGCAATCGAAATCTCGTTTTTCTTTTCAAAGAATGCCGCTATCTACGACATACTCTTTTTTCGGAACCTTCCGATCATTGTTTGATTTCCTCATTTTAAAACTGGAAAGCCTGTTTTAGGAAAGATTCCAAAGAAATCATTACATATTCTCCCTTCTCCCTTTCTTCTTCATCCGCTCTCTTCTTTCGCAACGATCATCACGACTATGTAATTTGTCAAGCAGACGATGTGATTTACAAGGAGCAAGTTTCTTACTCAAAACTCTGTCAGCCATTTATAGGAAGAATATCTGTTCACATTAAATTGTTGAATCACCAACAAATCATTTTATAAATTTCACGGGGAACTAGAAACTTATATGAGAGCATCATTACCACCTGATTTTGAATTTAGCTTCGATATGCATCCTCCACTTAAAACTAAATGAATATATATGTATATCTCATTATTCCAAGTTAAAGATATATATTATATATCGTGGTCTAAAGGATGAGACAATATGATCGCTTATCATTTTATTCAAATCAATTAAACTGAGGAATTTAATATTTGTTATTTATTAAATACTTGATGTATCTCAAAAACATAAAAACAACATGAAGAGTACTATCATTTCAATCAAATCCATGGTATCACAATGAATTTAGTAAATCGCTCATTTTTAGACAACAAATATTCATACTTCCTGTAAGTTTAATTACTATAAATGATAATTTAAGCAATAGATGGGATGCAAGAGATATTTCATTATTTGCTGCTGGCAGTTAGAAGCATAAAATGTATTAAATTAGTATCCAGTTAAGATATTACGGCCAACGTCTTGTACGTTTAATCTTGTCTACGGGGGGTAGCTCATAACATCGCAAGCGTCGTACCGTAATTTCATAAAAAATCCTGCAATATTAGCATCTCCGTCCAACAAACTGTAATATAAATATATCAATTTTCCAATGTTCTGACACAATTTACTTCTGGTCGGATATATAAACTCTAGATCATGATAATCTGATCTATAAATTGACTAACGATAAATTAGGAGGGCGAATCATCTTGAAATCTGTGATAACATCGAATGAGATAACCGTATCAGTTTCTTCCTCAACTTGCTCCTCACCTTCAAAATACTGTCCCGGCTTAATGATTGTATGATAAAGTGGACTGGAATAATCGGCTAAGCCTTCAAACGAACAACATTGCACATACAATCTGAATTTCAATCTTCTTATCTTCTTTGTTTTTTTTTCTTTTTTTTAACGGCAATTTAGTAAGAGTTAAAATTCCTACAAGTCTTAAATGAATCAAGCCTCCTTCGTCATGGAAATTTACTACTGATATTACTACTCTAAAACCATTGTATTCGATTCGAAATTAAAATATGATTTATAAAGGAGATTAAATCGTATAAAGATTTGTGTACATTAAAAAAAAGAAAACAAACGGTTGATGATTCCCGTAAGCCTTTTCAAAGCCTCCAACCCAACTATCATTTGACTCACATGATTTACGCCGTGCACGATCATCACAATCCTGTAAAACAATTAACACTGTCATTTTTTATGAATTTTATATAAAAAAAAAGAAAAATTCAAGTAACTTCCCAGTGCTTAAGAATAGACTTATCAATTGACTTCAGAATTTTTGACCATTTTACATTAATTAAAGATCTTTATAATTTTTTGAAATAAATAAAACTGTCATATATGACTGGAACAGTTTGCAAGATTAACTCCACCGATGTCTTCCTTTATGCAGTGCAGGAATAACTTAGTGAATAAACAACAGGAATGTTGGAAATTAAATAAACCAAATAAAATAAAGCAATAAAAATGGACCGCATATCGACGTTCAAAGCATGATGGACGGGAACAATGCAAAAGTGGTTGAGCATTTGGATAAATTTCGATCCCAAATGGTATCTTATTCTCTCCGCAGTATTCACCTTTACATGTAATAATTAAACTAAGCAGTGAAATTATTGCGAAAATCTGAAAAAGGAAATTCAGTGGAGAAATTTTAAATATATCAAAGTCTATTTATCAGTTCGTTTGAAGTGATAATATACAGTTAAAAGTAATCATCACCGTAATAGAATTATGAGAGATTTGTAAGAAATAAGAAGAAGTAAATGAAGTGAATTAGGAAATTTGAATTGGAAAAAAAGAAATAAATGAATTAAGAAATATGTCCAATACATCTGTTTCTACACTTGACTATTTCTGAAGATTGTTCCGGAAAAAGAAATGAAAATGTTATGAGATGTAAATATATTTAAGACGATATGTAATAATGGGACAAATTTACCCTACCGGAAAATATTACGTTAGTATCATTTTAAAAAGGAAATTGGGCAAGGGAAGAGAAAAAAAAATTAAGCAAACGAGCTCACCATAACGTACGCTGCATGATAAGATCGCTTTGCTATGCAAACTCTCTACAGAACATACAATTCATGATCAAGTTTGATCACTGTTACAATCATCCAGCGACATTACTATCCTTTTTCTATTCAATATCCAGAATTTTAATTCGGAAAAACTTTATGTCGTGGGCGTAAAATGGTTATGCCGGAATGCAATTACACCAATTTATACGATTTTCTGAAATAATTAATCAGTATCACAGTTGAAATCAAGTAACTACGCAAACCACCATAGACAACAATCATATCAGGTAACATATGATCATAGATCAATGTGTCAGTATTTCTTTTTTTTTTCTTTTTTTCAAGAACACCACAAACCACTCGTGATTCATTTCATTCAATTAAATTATCGTACTGTACTATTCCCAACATGTAGTACTGATAAAAGTATATTGCATGACTATACGGATAGTATAACAAGTCAGTTTAAGGATTGGAAGATTGGATGAAAAAATTTTACAAATGTATTTAAACGATTTTTTTAAAATATTAAATGCTATCAGTAAGATGGAAGATAATATTTGCATATAAGCTACTTCTATACAGAACTATTCAAAATCACATTTTCTTCATTGCATATAAGATTTGACTCATCAATTTAACGAGAAGTAAACTTAAGTATGATGTAAGGATAACCAATCGTTACCGGGAACAGAAATGAAAGATATTGTAAAAATCGAATTCAAACTTTTTGTAAATTAAAAATTCACGATGAATATAAGAAATTGATAAAGTAAGAGATAACGAAGATGAATGATGGAACAATAAAGATGAAATAAAATTCAAATGAAAGCTATCGGCAAGTTTATCCAAGGTTTATTTTATTAATCGTACTTGACATGAGTAATTCGTTTGGGGCGGTAAGAAAGGTAATGTAAACAACAACAACAGTGGTGACAATAGAAGTTCAGGAAATGTTGACATTCTGAGTATTCCTTTTGAAATTACATGGCAAGAAGCAAACAAGCCGTTGAAATAATCAATGTCAACTGGGGATGGAATAAGATCGAATGGTGAAACGAAACGGGAATTGAACATTGCCGACTACCACACTATCAATCACAGGCACAGACACATACACACATGCACACAGACACAGACATATACACACACACACACACACACATGCACGCATACACACATGCGTACACATACGTGCATATACACACATGCACAGATGCAGTTCATTGTGCAAGGGTCATTTATTTCAGAAAGCTGGTGATAAGAAGCTAGTGATAAAGAAATAGAAAATGGTGATAAAGAACCGTTAATGATTTGAATGAGCATGTGTGTTTAAATCAATTAATTCCCCAGTTAAATTATTATGTAGTCAAGGTATCATCTTGATAATGATAAATGAGAATTATGATATATTATGAATGAGCATGGAATCAGCACTATTATCAATCATGTCATTCCATGCTATGATTGATAACAGTTTTGATTATTGGTTTCATGTTATAATGACTAATTGATTAAAAAATTTTTGAATTTTTGATCAGTTTGCTGAAATTGTATCAACGGTATCCGCTAAATTATCATTGTTCACCAATGCACTCACACAATGTTCTTCGCTATAACCGAATATCGCGGATGAATTATTATGATTATAATCATTATGGCAAGTTTGCTGTTTGTTGTTGTTGTTGTTTTAGAGTTTGAACAGT